CTATGTGTATACTATATTTATTAATTAATTTAGTTATTAATAACACTGCACCTTCTTCCCATCCTAGCTTCAATACATGTATCTGCGAGTAGTACCACAGTGTTAGTAACTTCATCCCCTACTACTTCTGCTGCCCTTATCATTGGTCTCACCGTGGGTATTGGCGCTCCAGTGATAATAGGAGTAGCTTTTGTCATTCTCATTTTGCTGATGGCTGTGTTTCTGATAATGAAAAAGAAGGCCAGCAGTCGGCCAGCTGCAGAGTACAGAAAGATGTCCAGAACTAGTGTAACATCAGATACTAGTGTGGCATCCAATACTAACCTAGTCTAAGTGACTGGCAGGAGTCAAGAATGATCTTTATCTCTATTCGGTTCCTCACATTATAACTATTTTAGTATTTGTCACTCACATTAAATTTGCTACTCCTAATTATTGTTTGTGATTGATTGTTTTTTGCTCCAATTGTTAAAATTGATTTTTAGAATAATTAAACTTATCGACCGTTCCCATCACTGTACCATTAGCAATGAAATGACCTGGCAGACTGAATAGGCAAAATCACTACATTGTTTCTGTATTTCCTCCAAATAATTATGATCAGTAATGAGTTTATAATGAACTTAATGATATTCATTGACAAGAGCCCACACAAACTATTATAATCAGTCACTCATGACTCATTGTCTCATCAATCAATCCATAGATACAGTATACATTATTATTGCATTACAATAGTAGTAAGTATACTACTCACAATCGACAGTGATGCTGTCACAAATATGTGTGACTTTATCAATGTATCATGAAATAAATGTCAAGAGACAAAGATTGAAGATATGAGTAATAATGGAACAGAGAGATAGAAGAGGACATGACAGCTACAGCATGTGTACTCCAGTGTCTCTAATGCGCATGCGCCGAAGCACATGGCATCCACTACAATACTCCCCCCCAAAGAGGAGGTGAGCGGAACAAAAAGAAAGTGAAGGTGGAAAGGAGAAATTACAAAAATGAGCAACAACAATAATAATGATAATAGAAGAAAAGGAAAGAGCTATAATAATAATAATAATAAATATATATTCCTTTTTCAATGATAATAATAATGAAGCAACATACCAGTCTATAATAATTGAGTTGCTACAGAAATTTGACACGTTGAACTGTACAAGTTACGTTGGTATCCGAGCAAGTACCATCGGTCTCCGAACAAATAGTGTTGGTATCCAAACAAGTACTGTCGGTCTCCAAACAAGTAATGTCCAAGGAAGAAAGAGCAGTAGGAGTATGAAGAGATGAGTCACAACTGATAGTTTGAGAGGAATGAGGAAAAGGGATATGTTGTAAAGAGAGAATGATAAGACAGCTGAGAGTAGAGTGCATGTTGCGGAGTGTTTCCATGAGCGAGAGAGAAAATGTAGGCTGACAGTGGGTCGTCGTGGCCAGAATATACTCGTCTGACAGTGAGTCCGGCGTCAGAAGGAGAAAGTGAGTTATCTCGTCTGACAGTGAGTCGTCAGGAGAGGGTTTATAGCTCGTCTGACAGTGATTAGCCAGAAGGAGAGTGAGAGTACGTGAGTTAGAGTACATCGAAAGGCGCGTGTAGACTAGAAAACTGTTCCAGCACACGTCGAATGGCTGCTTGTCTTTATAACCCCGAGCAGTAAGTCGCCGGGCCGTCCGGGTCGCCAATGTCACAAATATGTGTGACTTTATCAATGTATCATGAAATAAATGTCAAGAGACAAAAATTGAAGAAGATATGAGTAATATATAATGGAACAGAGAGATAGAAGAGGACATGACAGCTACAGCATGTGTAGTCCACTGTCTATACATTCTAATGCGCATGCGCCGAAGCACATGGCATCCACTACAATGCTAAGTAATCCAGTTAATACAACCATTCCTTCTGTTGGCTATTACCTAACTGGTCATCCTGTTACCTGTAGCTCTAGTGGTAACTATGTTCCAATATGCAACAGTGTGAACATGGGGCCATTAGAAATAATAGCTATACAATAATTGGATTAGGTGAGATTACGTTACTTCCTTTGTTTTGATTGCAGTAATATCATTTTTAAAACTGTTGGCTGTTTCTTTACCAGTATTTTACTAATTCTTCCTATGTATGAATAAACATTTTACAATTTCTCACTTTATTATTAGGTGGGTTTAATGGAGCTCCTTCTGGTGTTACTGTTCCTCCTCCTACTCTACGTTCTATTGATACTATATCAAATCGATTTAGCTGTTCTGGTGCTCTTTCAGTAATCTTATTTGTTCTGGTAATAGTATAATGGGCTTTTGTCCTAATGGATATGCTACTGTCACATGTCAGAGAAAGGTACATGTACATGATTATTGACTGCATGATGTCTTCGGATGATTAATAATAATAGTGCTATAGGCCACAAAATTGTACCATTTTATATACATGTACCCAGTCTCGTAGCACCAATATTGACATGTTATGTGCAGAAATACCCACTTCATTTGTGAGGTACACTGTACCTATTATTTTTGTAAAGAATTTTTCTTCTTGTCACTTTAAAGTGTAACTGCAGTGATTTTTTAGGGTATTTATTTTATGGTCTTAATATAATTGCCTGATCATAATAATGATGTGTTCCAACTTCTATTGTCTAAAAAAATTTATTCACTGAGACATGAGCCTTCAAAAATGCACTTTTTGCTTCCTTTCAATTTACTTCCTGTCGGTGGGTGTGGCTAAACGTGACGTCATAAGAGGCATAGATGCAGATAACTCCATTCCTTTATAGGTGAAAATAATGCTTTATTCTCATGCCTTGTAATGTAATAGCACTAATTTAAAGATTGGGATCATTAGCTTTCATTATCCTAAGCATGCAATTGCAAGAAAAAGTCATAATACCACACTTTGGCATAGGCGGCTATAGGCCTGGGCAAGCCAGGGCTTTGCCCTGGTAGTTTTCAACCAAAACCACACCCAAAAGGTGTGTTTTGTTATTATTAGGAGTGAGATCATCACTAGAATTCATTTTTTATAGTCACAACTGTCTACACTAAAGATCAGCTCCACTTTACAGTTATTTTAGTGTGGTAACTGGCTTTTGGGAACTATCATAATGATTAACTATTCAGGCTGTGGAATTATGGATCCAGTGTTATTACAATTTATTAATAATTT